CTGTTCATCTATAAAGGCTTTGAAGAACTTATCACCAGTAACAGGACCCTGTTTTCCATAGCACTTTACCACATCAGTTCTGAAAAGTGACTCCTTGTTTTATAGCTTCCTTAGGGGATCTTGTTGGCTCTCAGAGCCAGGGAGACATCACTGTTCATCAACTTGACCAAAGTATTAGTAGAAACTTCTTGTCCAGTTTAAATCTATTACAAACATTACATTTTCTGAAGAAATAACATGTAAAGCCATATCCTCGCAAACTGTCTCTCAAGACTGTACACATGTTAACAGATTGGCGTGGTCTTCCTAACAGAAGTCGCTTAAGCTCACCACGCAACATGCCTCCTTTCCCACCAAACAAGAGGAGGAGGGTTCAAAACGTGTTGCGTGACAAGCCTAAATGACAATGTCCATTATATTTTGGACTGTCCGACTGCTCATCTGTATGTGGCATTACCCAAGTGTCTTGTCCTGATATCTAGCAAATTCAACCCTATTTCAGCTTCTTCTCGTTCACACACTTCCCTCCCCTCCCAGAATTGTTAGGGTTCACTGACAATTTATAAGGTTATCAAGTTTAAAGAAGTTGGACAGTTGACACTGTGGAAAGGAGCAAAGAAAGTGACAGGCTAGCATCATCAATGTTCATAGGATGCACTTGCAGTGCACCTCTATTTGTAACAAACAGCCAGTAGGGGTAGGAGCCACACAAAAACACCAGGAAACATAACCTCCATTAAAGATTTTCAAATGGTGTTTTCTACCCTGGTTAACGTTACTTATAGAACTTATTTCATGAAAACAACATGTTACTGAGCATAAAGGCATTTTCAGGGATGGAATCTATTCAACTTTGGTGATCACTAATCAAATATGAGCTTGATGAAGAAATTACTTACTCAAAATAAGACGCAACATCACTGAATACACGAAGATTGGACACCTTAGGTTTTGTTCCTGTAATAAAGACCATGAAGATAAAATTTAATCCACAAAGTGCCCAAAATGCTCTGTAATTGGGGTTTATTATTAAAGATTTACCTTGACTACCACCTGCGGAACCTAACTGTATAAAGCAAGCATCATGTATGC